TATATATATATATTATAATATATACAGCTGCACACATATGTACATGCATACATCAAACAAATATTTAAATATAGAGCCCGAGACGGACATACGTACATGCATGCATACCACACATGATGTGTATACATAACAAAAAACGGGATCGACTATTGAAGAATCTCTTAAGATCATGCATACTTATCTTCCTGCACTCATCGGAGGTCTTGCGGGGGACATGCTGAAGTTTTTTTATTGCTAGCCCATGAGTCCCAAATCCCACCTGCTTCTGCGATTGCTGCGTCACATGCGGCTCGACGTGCTGAAAGAAAACGTCTCGAATCGCACACCACTTCATGTATGTCTGCTTCACCTTTGGCGGGCGACGCCTTGCAAAAATTCCATCGTCGGGATTCGCATTGACCCGTTCCGCCCTTCTGGCTGCAGGCTTCTTGCAAGGCTTCACTCCATTGTGGTCCGCCTTCATTGAAGGCTTCTTAAGAACTGCCTCCTCCTCCTCCGGCTCGCTCGGTGCGCCTTGCTCGACGCCATCCATGTCAATGTCTGCAACTGCAGCAGGCTTTTTCATCGGTGTGTTCGCGGCCGGCTTCTTCTGCTGGCCACCCCCTGTGCGCGACTTACCTCGCTTCAGCGCCTTTCGGAGCTCGTGCTGCTCCTCTGGCGTCAACGTAGGTTTCTCCTGCCGATGGCGGTTTTTGGCGAAGCGGGCTTTAGGCTTGAGTTTTGGGCCGTTGTTTTTTCGTCGAGTCCTTGTCATGCATCACATCGTCTTTGGAAGCTCTACCACCACCAAGCTTCTTTAGGCTGCTTCGGTCGGGTGTAGTCTTTTTCTGGAGACGGTTGACTCTGGCTGAAACCGGGGGAGGCGAAGGTTGCACATTTTGCAAAGCCTCTTCCATATCATACTCTTGCAACGTGTCCATGGCCTCGGTGTTGCGAGGGCACATTTGCAGCATCGTCGCAGCAGCAGCAGCAGCAGCAGCAGCACGATCACATGTGATGTATATACATGTGTATATA